CCTAACATACTGTACGCCTTCTTAACAACGCTATCAACCTGGGTGGCAACTTTCAGTGATCTATGCACATGGACACCGAGATCTCTCTGCTCATCCACACTACCAAGAATCTTACCATTAGCCCAGTACTCTGTATTCCTGTTACTCCTTCCAAAGTGAATCACCTCACACTTTTCCGCATTAAACTCCATTTGCCACCTCTCAGCCCAGCTCTGCAGCTTATCTATGTCCCTCTGTAACCTGCAACATCCTTCCGCACTATCCACAACTCCACCGACTTTGGTGTCATCCGCAAATTTACTAACCCATCCTTTGTTATCCTTAGAATAAATTAATACTTACTATGAGTCTTAGTGGCATCCTAACACTACCGCTTTCAATAACTTAAGTTTTCATCAGTGTATAATTTTATTTGACTTGATTTAATTTTACCCCCGTTTTGCTTGTGCTCCTTCTTGAAATCCAAGTAGCTGCTACTTCTTTATAAATGATACATTTTCTAATTTTAAACTTATTCCAACTCACTCCCTCACAGCAGATTCTCACTGACCATTAAACGTAAAGATTTCCTTTGATATCCCTCTTGGATTTCTTTTCCTGCACTCTGCTGTGAACAGAGCTATCTCCTGCAGATCTGACTGTCTCTGCTTCTTAGTGATGAGTGAGGGCCCTGAGCTTCACCCTCACATTGTCTTGTTAGGGAGGGAGGATGCTGTAGGGGGATGAGTTCATGTCAACAATCTGAATACATCAGCTATCTGTTTCACTTTTACTTCACATACATCATCGACACACTGTCGTTCTATCACAGTCGCAGTTGTTGTGATGGGTTTTGGCCTAATGCCTGTTTTTGAGGTTGGCAAGATTATCATCAGTGTGATAGCTTATCACTGGGGGGAACCTGTCAGTGGTAAGCTGTCGTATTATTGCAACATAGCAAATAGAAATTGGAGCAGGCCACTCGGCCATCAAGTCTCTTCTGCCATGCAATAGGATCATGGCTGGACTGATTTGGCCTTAACTCCACTTTCCTGTCTGTCCCCAATTGTCTAATTCAGCCCTGAATATACTCAGTGACTCAGTCTCCACTGTGGAGGAGAACTCCCAACATGAATGATCCTCAGAAAGAAGCAATTGCCCCGCATCTCCTTCTTACATAAGAGGCCCCTTATTCTGAAACTGTGCCCTGTAGATCTAGATTACTCCACACGAGGAAATATCTTCTCTGTATCAACCCTGTAAAGCCCCCGTCAAATGTTATGTGAACTGAGGCAGTAACACACCCCATGTCAGACAGGAAAGAAGCCTGTAGTGGTGCGATTGGATTATACTTCCATTTGCATACTGTCATGTGGGAAACAGTTGTTGTAATATTAAGTGAGCATTCATCTCGCTTTTGCACCTTTCAAAGGGCAGTTCCATTTACTGAGCTAAAGGCTTTGTGAGATGGAAGAGAGCGTGTACAAGAAGGATGCACTGTTCTTTGCATGCTCCCTGAAGTTCATATGCTGTAAAGAACATTTCAGTTTCATCTGACGCAGCTCAGAAACTACACTGGGAGTAGGACTCTGGACAGTCCTCTTCTGCAAATAGCGAGGGGTGATTAAGAGATAATCAAACTAGAACTTTGCTAGCAATCTGTATCCAAATGCAGCAACATTTCAGGTTTGGGGTGACAAGTGGCAAGTAACATTTGCACCACACAAGCACCGGGCAATGATCATCCCCAACAAAACAGAATCTAATCATTGCCCCTCGACATTCTTTGATGTTACTATTGCTGAATCTCCCACAATCAACATCCTGGGGATAACTGTTGACCAGAAACTGAACTGGGCTAATAAATGCAATGGCTACAAGAGCAGGTCAAAGGCTGCACTGAGTAAGTCACCTCCTGACTCCCCAAAGCCTGTCCTAGAGTCATAGAGTCATACAGCATGGAAACAGACCCTTCGGCCTAACTTGTCCATTTCAATCAGGTTTCCTAAACTGAACTAGTCCCATTTGCCTGCATTTGGCCCATATCCCTCTAAACTTTTCCTATCCATGTACCTGTCCAAATGTCTTTTAAATATTGTAATTGTACCTGCCCCTCCCACTTCCCCTCAGAGCTCATTCCATCACCCTCTCTGTGAAAAACTTCCCCAATAGGTCCCTTTTAAATCTTTCCCCTTTTACCTTAAACCTATGTTCTCTCGTTTTTGACTCCCCTACCCTGGGGAAAAGACCTTGGCTAGTCACTCTATCCATGCCCCTCATGATTTTATAAACCACTGTAAAGTCACCCCTCAGCCTCTAACATTCCAGGGAAAAAAGTCCCAGTGTATCCATCTATCCTTATAACTCACACCCTCCAGTCTTTGTAACATCCTTGTAAATCCCCTTTTTTTTCACACTTTCCAGTTTAATATCACCTGTCCTTTATCAGGGTGACAAGAATTGTATGCAGAATTCTAAATGTCTTCTACAGCCATAACATGATGTCTCAACTCCTTTACTTGGTGGTCTGACAGATGAAGCCAAGTGTGCCAACTGCCACCTCTGTCTACCTGTCCACCATCTACAAGGCACAAGTCAGCAGTGTGATGGAATGCTCACTCACCCACTTGCCTGGATGTGTGCAGCTCCAACAACACTCAAAAGGCTTGGCACCATCCAGGACAAGACAGCCCCCGCTTGATTGGCACCACATCCACAAACATGCACTCCCTCCACCACCGACGCTCAGTAGCAGCAGTGTGTGCTATCTACAAGATGCACTGCAGAAATTTACCCAAAATCTTTAGATAGCATCTTTCAAACCCATAAAAACTGAAAGAACTGAGGATGCTGTAAATCAGGAACAAAAACAAAGTTGCTGGAAAACCTCAGCAGGTCTAGCAGCATCTGTGAAGGGAAAAACAGAGTTAATGTTTCAGGTCCGGTGACCCTTCCTCAGAACTCTTCCTCAAAACTGTTCTGAGGAAGGGTCACTGGACCCGAAACACTAACTCTGATTTTTTCTTCACAGATGCTGCCGGACCTGCTGAGCTTTTCCAGCAACTTCTGCCTTTATTCTTTCAAACCGATGACTACTTTTATTAAAAGGACAAGGGCAGCAGGTCATGGGAACACAAACACCCACAATTTCTTTCAAACCAACACACCCATTCTGACTTGGAAATATATTGTCATTCTTTCACTGTCGCTGGGTCTAAATCATGGAATTCCCTCCCTAAGGGCATTGTGGGTCTACCTACAGCACATGGACTGCAGCGGTTCAAGAAGGCAGCTCACCCCCACCTTCTCAAGGCCAACTAGTGACTGGCAATAAATGCAGGTCAGTCAGTAACACCCATGATTGTAAGAAGAACATATTTATGCTACAATGCAGTGTAGAGCAGCGAATTAGTAAAAGCTGCCTTTCTATCAGGTTGCAACTGGAAATTCTCAACACATATCACAATCCAGGCCCTCACACAACTATCTGATTGCCAAGGGGTTTGAGGAAGCTTGCAGTCTGTAAAAGGGTCAGTCGTTGTGTCTTCAAGTAGGAAACCTGCGCACAAATTCTTGTTCTTGTCACTCTGCACTCTTTCTAATTTTTCAGGTCCCCAACTACCTCCCGTCAATCAGTGCTGCTATTGGAGGGGAGACTCCTCAGCGCTATGTCTGGCGTTTCTGTATTGGCTTGCACTCGGCACCACGGCTGTTGGTTGGACTGGCATATTGGAACCACTACCGCCGTGTCCCTTCACCTGGCCACTGGTATGGCCCCCTCTGCTTCATCAACTTCACCTTCAACATGCTGGAGAACCTGGCGTTGCTGCTCCTGACCTATGTTTCGTCAACAGAGAATCACTGTGAGTCCAAGGACACCAAGCCAGCCACATGCGACTGCAAGTGTTCCTAGTTTAGGCATGAATATTACTTGGAGTGCAGGGTGCTGTGGGTCTTTCTTGTCGTATTAAGTTCCTTCTGACCGATGGCTCGGTGTTAATGGGAAGGATCTGTTCCCCTGATCATGCCTGATTGTGTCATTCCAGGGGTTCATGAGAAAGCTTTTGTCACCTTCATGGGATCATCAATACTTCACATGATCCTCACCTGTGTCATCTGGCAGCAGACCAAGAAAAGCACAGTAAGTCCGGAGGTAATTGGTTCTGTTCTTCCATTATGTCTCTCTCTGTCCCTGTCTCTGTCTCTTTATTTCAAGCCACAGAGTCCATATCAGTGACACAAGGAGGCTCATTAGGTATGTGTTGGCCCTCTATAGATCTATCTGCTCTGGCCCACTCCCCCACTCTATCCCTGTATCCCTTGCAAATTTATTTCCCTTAAGTGCCTGTCCAATTTTGTTTTGACATCATTCATTGTCTCCACTTCCACTCCCTTCAAATGCAATGAGATCCAGATCATTGCCAGTCGCTGTGTGAAATAGTTTGTCTTCACATCCATCACCACATTTCTTGCCCAAAATCTTAAATCTGTGTCACCAAGTCTTTATACCATCTGCCAACTGAACATCTTGTCTCTCTTATCTAAATCTGTCATAACTTCATACACATCTATCAGATCTTCCCCCCCGGCCCCTTCCCATATCCCCCTTCCTGCAGTCTGCCTTGTCCAATCTGTGCTGACTCTGCTTCATTAACTCAAATTTCTCTGGGCGTCTGAGTTTTTTCTGTCTCCCCGATTGATGTTCTAAAACTTAAACTAATTTCCTAAGTTGTTACTTGTTCTAGTTATTATCCAAGACAAGTGATGTAGGGCCTGTGCCACAGGGAAAAAATTAAGTAATGGCAGGCAGGGTAGTGAATGACTGGTGTTCATCCTGAAGGTTTGCAATCACTGTATGATTTGTTCTTCCAGTGTTGGGATTTGAAAAGAGGGAGCACACTCATATTTAGGTGCCATCAAAAGATAAAGATTCTTAATAAAAAATGAAGATCAATGTAAAATTCTTTGTTTAGCTTAATTAGCCTGACATCAGTGGTGGGGAAAATGCTAGAATCTTTTATAAGACATGTGATATCAAAACACTTAGAAAGCGTTAATAGGATTGGATAAAGTCACTGTTGGTTTCTGAAAGGCAAAGCATTTTTAACAAACTGCTGGAGATTTTTTGAGGAAGTAATGAGTAGAATAGATAAGGGAGATCCAGTGAGTGTAGTGTTATTTGGATTTTCTGAGAACTTTTGATAAGGTCCCTCAGAAGAGGTTATTGGACACAGTTAAAGCACAGGGGATGGGGGTAATATATTGGCACTTATCTAGAACTGGTTCACAGACCGGAAATAGAATGGGAATAAATGGGTCTATGTCTGGATGGCATGCACTGACTAGTAGGTCAAGTGTTTTGTCCTCATAGAATCATAGAATCCCTACAGTGTGGAAACAGGCCCTTCAGCCCAACAAGTCCACACCGACCCTCAGAGCACCCACCCAAACCTATCCCCCTATAACCCACCTAATCTACACATCCCTGAACACTACGGGTAATTTAGCATGGCCAATCCACCTAACTTGCACACCTTTGGACTGTGGGAGGAACTGGAGCATCCAGAGGAAACCCACGCAGACACGGGGAGAATGTGCAAACTCCACACAGACAGTCACCCAAGGGTGGAATTGAACCCGGGTCCCTAGTGCTGTGAGGCAGCAGTGCTAACCACTGAGCCACGATGCCACCCCCTCTTGTTGGTTCCCTCAACATGTGTTGCATGCCCAGTCCAGCAGCTATGTCTTTAGGACTCTGTACACCAATGGGACACCTCCTCTGCTGGGCCTGTCCCCCATTAGGATAGGACATACCTGGGGTGATGATTGTGGAATGTGGGGCATAGTCAGACCCATGGAATCAACCTTTTTGGACAATGTCAAGCTGATGTTTGCTCATTTGTATTGGCATTAGTCGTCGAATGTTGTTAAAGTGGACTTTGGCAGGGACTTATCTGGGCTGAGTTTGGCATTGTCATTTTTGGCTCACTTGATTGTAAGGATCTGTTGGGTGTCATTCCTTTCAGTTTGATACAAACTGATACAAGGTCATTTCAGAGGGCAATGAAAATTCAACCACATTGCTGTTGGTCTGTCTTGTAGGTCAGTGAACCAGTAGGGTTTTTTTTAATGAATTGAGCAACAGTTTCATGGTCATCATTAGACTTTTAATGAAATCTGCATTCAAATTCCATCTGCAGTGTTGGTATTTGAACCTGTGTCCCTGGGTTAGTAGTTCATTGACAATACCATTACACCATTGCCTCCTTTCACATTCCCCCTCATCTCAGTCCTAAATGGCCTAAGTGTCACAGTGTCTAGATGCCACCCCACCTTGCCCTCCACCACCTCCCTCCAGCTAGTGGGAGACATGCTCCCTGTGGGACCCTATAAGAGTTGCGTATGCTTCTGGAATGAAGATGAGAAGATGCTCAGCTATCCTGACTATATTTTGCCACTCCAGCTTTTCTAAATTGTTTAAGTGATGTGTGGAAAGTAGAGTCAGTGTCATTTCTGAAGTCCTGTCAACCAAAACTGCAGCAAATGGCTTTTTATTGGAACATGGCAACAGATAACAGACCCCACGGAGTGGAATTGCCAGTTTTTGATTAGCATGTAATTCATTGAGTTGCCATGAGAGGGTGGTATTGAACCACTTTAGAGGAGCAATTAGGTTGCTTTGTGAAGGATCTTGTCTCTCTTTCCATTTGTCACCTGTGGCTGTGAGTGAAGGAGATGTGCATATGCATGGATCACTTGTACACATCCCTAATTGCCCCTTGTGTGTGATATGTACAGTAGTGTCTGGAGTGTGGGTGTGAATGTGTTTGTGCATCTGGAGGCTGGATTGTGTGATCATTGCTTCAGTGCTGTCCAGCTCTCACCATTTTCCAAAATGATTTGCTCAGTAATAGGTTGAGGTGGAGCAGGAACACACATTCCCTGAGCCCATACCTATTCCAGTCTGCCCCTGTTGTTTAAGCAAATCCATTTAGCAAATGTATTAAGAAAAAGTGTCACCCCCTTGGCCAAGCACAGAATTTCAATTCCCTAGTCAGGGTCAGTATCAGATTGAGAGGAAGAACACATAATTTGAAAAAAGGTTGGATAAATTAGGATGGCTAAAAAACAGAAGAGGGAGAAAACAGATGAGAGAGTAAACAAGGAAGAAACATTAAATCTTACATTAGTGTTTTTTTCACAGGAACTTAAAATGTTAATTAAAGATTAAAGACTTGTGAATGGGTGGGGCTAAAGGTTGAGAAGTCCCCTGGACCGGATAACTTACATCCTAAAGTCTCAAAAAGTGACTGCATTCAGCAATTGGTTGATTGGTATAATTAACAACCACAATTTATATTTCTATGTTACCTTTTAATGGAATGAAAGCCTGGTCAGACCTCATTCAAAGTACTGTGCGCAGATCTGGGCACCACACCTCCGGAAGGATAGATTGGCCTTAGAGGGAGTACAACGTGGGTTTACAAGAATGATACCTGGGCTTCAGGTATTATCCTATGAGAAGGGATTATACAAATGAGGCCTGGTTTCTCTATATCCTTGTGGATATTTAAGGTCGAGATAGATTCTTGAACAGTCGGGGAATCAAGGGTTACAGGGAAAAGGCAGGAAAGTGGATTTGAAGAGTGTCACGTCAGCTATGATCCTATTAAATGGTGGAGCTGACTTGAAGGGCCGAAAGGCCTACTCCTGTTCCTATTTCTTAATGTTCTTTGGATGAGGGCTTCAGTAACAGATGAGCTGGGACCGGGATGGCATTGAGTAATTGACAGAAGTGGAAGTAGGCTGCCTTAGTGGTGACATCAATATTAAGTAGGAAGCTCATCTCGGGGTCTCGTGACATTAAGTTTCTGGGAGACTGGTTTAATCCCAGACTGTTGCCAGGGAAAGCGACGGAGTCCGGAACTTGAGGCTATCTTGGAGCGGGAACTGAAAACCCTGAAGGGAATTTCTGCTCATCCACTGGGTGTTGGAAAAAGCAATCTCTTTATTCTTGTAGAAGGGGAGCGAGTGGGTGTGGTGCATTGGGATTTCCAAAAGGCACTCGATAAACTGTCACTAAAAGGTTGCTGCACAAGATAAGAGCTCACATTGTTGGTGGTGAGGTATTAGCTCACACGGAGGGTTAGCTAACAGACAGGAAACAGTCAGGATAGATTCAGAATTCTTTATCTGAAGAGACAGCAACCGCTGCATCGTTCAAAATTTTAAAGCTGAGTTAGACTTTTGATTGACGAGAGCTTTTGGGGACAGGCAGGAAAGTGATGTTGAGACCACAATCAGATCAGCCATGGTCTTATTGAAAGGGGGTGGACCAGGCTCAATGGGCTGAATGGCCTACTCCTGTTTCTGTTTTTTGCTGACTTTATCTATATATTGCATCAGCAACAGTTTGTCTGCTGAGATAAATCCTTCACAAGTGGGTAGGGCTCGAAAGGCTAGGCCTTTGAGTATATGGCCATCTGATGTACATAGCTAAGCCAGTGTAAATGTTGTAGGGTTAGTAATGAGTGGGTGATGATGGAATTATCACAATGCAGAGCATCTGAGATAATGTCTTTCCAGATGTTTCCCAGGCCATTGAAGGGAGTATGGACTTACCCATGGGGTGAGGATGAGTTGGTCTTTGTGGTTGCACTCGCTTCCACCACACGACCAAACTGAGTGTTGGGCTGGAGGCGGGGAGGGAATCCCTTGACTTGTACCCCCCCCACCCCCACCATTCTGACGCTGGGAGCTCAGGTCTCAGGCAGCCAATCCGTTCCTGCATCAGCTAAACTTGGCTGCAGTTGCTATAAGTGCATTAGGTCTATCTATACCCTACCAGTAAAGGCTGCGTGATGCTGGGCTGCTGTCGGTGCGTATTTTTTGCATCATGTGGGTTCTTTTGTTGACCGTGAAATGGTTGTGAAATGGAGCCATAAAGGAGGAACAGTCATCATGCAGAACGCTGGGCCCCAGGAACTATAATTTGCAGCGACTGCACATGCAAGCTGACACAGCAGAATCCTTAATTCCCTAACCCCACTGTGCCGTTTCCCCCTTCACCACCCCTACCCACACCCCCATGCTGTTCTCACTTGGTCATGAACGTGTCTGCGCTTTTATTTGGCGACTTTGGGAATGTGTGAAGCATGGCCGTTCTGAACAAGATATTTTGCTCACTTTCTGTTTGCATGTGACACTCTGCACAAACCTCACTGATTCCGTGCAGCTATTTATTTCTGATTTGCAGCCTCCAACACTTCCTCTGGTGTTTTTGTTAAAAAAACCCTCCAGCATAATTTGTTGATGTTATGTTTTAAATGGGAGTTTGTGGAGCGGGCTGCTTGTATGATTGGCCCAGACACCTTAAGAGCTTTTTTTAAAAACAAAATATAGAGAAGTGTGTTCATTTATTTTATTGTTGAGGGTTGGATTTTTATTCAGTCTTAAGTCCTCACATACATTCTTCATTTAGACTGAACTGAAACCAGAAATTGCTGCAGATACTGAACAGGTCTGTCAGCATCTGTGGAGAGAGAAACCGAGTTAACATTTCAGGCATGTGACTCTCAATTGGAAATAAATTGTCCTGCAAACCGTTCCAGACTATCACAACTCACCCTCTTGTCTCTCAAAAGAAAAATAAGCCTGTATTTCTTTGGCGCTTTTCACATCCTCAAAATGTTAAAGTGCTCTACAGACAATGAAGCCGTTTTTGAGGTGTAGTCATTGCTGTAATTTTGCACATAGCAAGATCCAACAACCAACAACATGGAATGATCGGGCAGCCAGTTTCTTATGATGTTCGTTGAGAGGTAACTATTCACCAGTACCTAGGGAGAAGCCCCATGCACTTCTCCCAGTAGCAGCATTTGGTACTTATACATTTACCCTATGGGCAGCAACAGCATCACTTTAATATCTTATCGTAAAGTGGCAGTTCTAACAGTGCGGCATTCCCTTGGTACTGACCCTCGGACAGTACAGCGTTCCCTCAGTATTGACTCTCTGACAGTCTGGCACCCCCTCAGAACTGACCTGGTGCTGCTCTAGTAGTGGCAGCTTGGAATAAGTGCTCCATTATTTGGAATGGGACCTAAATCAATGACAGGCTGATTACAAGGTAAGTATCCCATCCTTTGGCCACGCTTGCTCTGATACAGCATGATGTAAGCCGTGTGGTTTATATATAGGTTATATCATTTAGAGTTTGGATTTTGAACTAGTGTCATGTGAGTTTTGGCCTGCCTGTGAAGAGTTTTAATGAATAACTTGTAAAGCTTTCTGAAGCCAAAGTTTGTTTGAAAAGAATGAGAGGTATTATACTTGAAGGCTGATGGGAACTTGTTGACATTGGAAGAGTTTTATGGGGAAACAAAGTAAACAGTGTAATGTACTTCACTGCAGAATCAGTAGTTTCTTCAGTTAGAAGGATTTTGTTTTACATATAAACATAGAAGTATAGAAGACAGGAGCAGGAGTAGGCTATTTGGCCCCTTAATTCTACACTGCATTCATTAAGATCATGCTGATCTCTGAGCTCGATACCCTAATCCCGTCCTCCCACCAAGTCAGTCGATCCCTTTCGTCACAGGGACTATATCTGTCTCCTTCTTGTTTAGCCTCAACCACTTTCTGTGTTCATGATTTTCACAGACTGCCTACTCTCTGGGTGAAGTAATTTCTCCTCGATCCTAAAAGGTTTACCCTCTATCCTTTAGCAATGACCTCTGGTTTTGGACTTCCCCACCATCAGGCACAGTCTTCTTGCATCTAACTTGTCTAGATTGATTTGAATTTTATAGGTTTTGGCGTAGGAGAAACTCCCATAGCTTGGAGAAAGCTTTTTGGTTTCAGTTTTGCAGAGCTTTTCGTTGATGTTGGATGCATGAAGAAAGTAGATAGTTTGGAACTGTTAAGAAATAAAATGCTTCGGTGTGAGGAGTTTACTTTGAAAGTTCCAGACTAGAAGTGTTGGCTAAAACCCTGAAGGGATTGTGAAACTGAGAAAGTCTCAGCTCAGTTGTGTGAAAACTTAGTGAAGAATTTACCTGTATCAATTATGTTAGGTCCTATACAAGTAGCAGGTAAAGAGGTTCTCTTGGTGTGATTATGTGAAAGAGTGCTGTTGGGATTACTGGGATTGTATTTTACCATGTGTTTCAAGCTTGCATTGTCTGTAAATAGTTTGGTTTATTCTGTTATTTTCTTCATTTCACTGAAAGATCAGCTCGTAAAAACGAACAATCAAACAAAATATGACCTTCCAAGCCAGATTTCAGTCTGCTATTGACCTGACCAGTAATAACATCAGCTGGGATCAGAACAACAGTCACTGGTGGCAAGTGACCCGTACCAGAGTCTCAGGAAGTGGCCCACTGTCCCTTCAGAGAGAATCAAGCACGGGACCATGAGTAAATTCTGTCCGTTGCTGACACGAAGTGGTTGGGTGTAATTTTTCTCTTTGACGTGGCAGGGTAGACTCCTCCACAGGATGTGTGCTTGTCACAGATGGCCTATAAATGATGCAATCCATCTCTCAGTTCCCTCTCTGCTCAGGACAGAGTACAATTTGTGGTTTTCCTCATCCTGCTGGAGTGAGAGAGAGGGAAGGTCAGAGTTCAGTGCCACACTCAGCTGGAACCTGCCCGAGGGGGAAGGGAAATGTGGGTGGGATTCAGCTCGACCTCAAATGTCTTTTTTTGAGAAAATGGTCCTGCTACTTGTACCCTTTCACACTGAACTATTTCTGAGGGAGCAGAGGGAGCTTTACTCTATCTAACCTCATGCTAACTCTATCTAACCCCCCTTCCTGTAACGACTCCATCCCATTCTCTCAGTTCCTCTGTCTCCGTCATATATGTTTAGATGAGGCCAACTTCAACAAGAAAGCCTTTGAAATGTCCACCTTCTTCCTCAACTGAGGATTTCCCAGCTCCATTGTTGACGGGGCCCTCAACCAGGTCTGACCCATCTCCCTCTCCACTTCTCTTCCCTCCCGCAACAGCGATAGGCTTCCCCTTGTCCTTACCTACCATCCCACCAGCATCCAAATCCAGAAGATCATCAGACGCCATTTCCCCCACCTCCAGCAAGATGCCACCACCGGACACACATGCCCCTCCCCTCTCTTGTCCGCCTACTGTAGGGACCGTTCCCTCCGGGACACTCTGGTCCATACTTCCTTCACCCCCAACACCTCCCCACAGCCCTAGGGCACCTTCCCCTGTAACCGGTGAAGGTGTAACACCTGCCCATTTACCTCCTCCCTCCTCAGTATTCAAGGGCCCAAACGTACCTTCCAGGTGAAGCAACACTTCACCTGCACTTCCCAGAATCTAGTCTTCTGCATTCGTTGCTCACAATGTGGTCTCCTCTACATTGGGGAAACGAAGCGTAGACTGGTTGAATGCTTCGCAAAACATCTATGTTCTGCTCACAAAAAAGACCCTGAACTACCCGTTGCCACCACTTTAACATACCACCCTGTTCCCTGGCCAACATCTCTGTCTCTGGCTTGCTGCAGTGTTCTAGTGAAGCTCAGTGCAAGCTGAAAGAACAACATCTCATTTTCTGCTTGGGGACCCTGCAGCTCTCCAGACTCAATATCGAGGTCAATAATTTTACGGCCTAAACTGTCCCATGTCCCAGCCCCCCACCCCACACACCAGGCCTTGTTACCACATAGCCTGTCATAGTCACTAAAATTCCCCTTTAACAACTATTCACCCTCCTCAGCCAGATCACTATCAACTCCTTTGTTTGTGCAACTGTTCTTCTGCCTCTTTGGGCTCTATCCTATCCTTTACTCCCTACCCCACCCCCTCCCTATTTTCTGCATATAAACTTGACATTTTTCTAGCTACCATCAGTTCTGAGGAAGGGTCACTGGACCCGATACGTTAACTCTGATTTTTTTCTTCACAGATGCTGCCAGACCTGCTGAGCTTTTCCACCAACTTCTGTTTTTGTAACCCCATGCTGTCCCTGTCCTGGGAGTGTTTGATGGGGGACAGTGTAGAGGGAGCTTTACTCTGCATCTAACCCCATGCTGTCCATGTTCTGGGAGTGTTTGATGGGGTCAGTGTAGAATGAGAATGAAAGCATGTGCCCTTTAACCAGGCTTTGTACAGAGTAGGAAGGATGTTTCCCTGACTATAGGGTCTGGAAACAGGGGAAACAGTCCCATATAAGGGGTAAGTCACTTTGGACTCGGGTGAGAAAGGACATCTTCACTCAGATGGTGGTGAATCTTTATAATTTTCTACGCCAGAGACTGTGGAAGCTCCTTGACTGGGACAGTTCAAGACCGAGATTGATAGGTTTCCAGTTACTCATGACATCGATAGATATGGGGACTGGTGTTGAAGAGATAATCAGCCATGACCTAATGTCATAGAACCAACTTGAGGGGTTGAAAATAAGAACATAGGAACAAGAATAGGCCATTCAGCCCCTCCAGTCTGTTCCACCATTCAGTGAGATTATAACTGATCTGTGTTCTACCTCCATAAAATTGGCCTAATTGCACAACTCCTGAAACTGTTACATGTCCCTGTCACTCTTGACTGTCTTTATATCTCTTTCTCCCCTCCCACCCTTCCTTTCCATCCTCTCTCCCCATGTCCTTCTCCTGTCTTCCTTCACCCTGCCGTGTCTCTCCCTCTTTTCCCTTCTATCCCCGGTTCCCTCTCTCCCCTTACCCCATTCACCTCCCTCTCTGAATTAATGAGCAGAATCTTTCATCAGATATTTGTATTTTTGAATTATGAAACCTTAATCTCTCTCTCCCCTCCCACTTCCACTCACCTTTCCCTGCCTCCTCCCTCTCCCACCTCTGTTTATTCCCCACCCTAATCCCCGTCCTCTCATGATAGGAGAGGACCTCTCTGAGCTGGAAGCGGAGGCTGTTTGTCTTCAATTTGAGCTCGTTTGTCATCGCTTTGTGTTTCTACTTCAGACACAACGCGTACTGTGAAACTGGAGGTGAGAGTCAGCACTCATTTGTTTTATTATTGTTTGTAATGTGTGTGTCCCATCCTTAGTTGCCCCTTGAGAATGTGGTGGTGAACTGCCTTTTTGAACTGCTGTAGGTTGACCCACAGTGCCCTTAGGGAGGGAATTCCAGGATTTTGACCCTGCGACAGTGAAGGAACGGCGATATATTTCCAAGTCAGGATGGTGAGTGGCTTGGAGGGGAACTTGCAGTTGATAGTGTTCCCATGTATCTGCTGCCCTTGTCCTTCTAGATAGAAGTGTTTGTGCTGATTTTGAGCACAGGCATTCAGTACTATTGCAGGGATGTTGTCAGGACCCATCGCATTTGCAGTATCTTGTGTTTTCAAATATTATTTGATATCACGTGGAGTGAATCAAATTGGGTGAACCCTGACATCTGTGATGCTGGAGACCCTCAGAGGAGGCTGAGGTGGATCATCCACTCAGCATTTCTGGCTGAAGACTGTTGATTCAGCCTTATCTTTTGCACTGATGTGTTGGGCTCTTCCATCATTGAGGATGGGGATATTCTTCCAGTGAGTCGTTTAATTGTCCACCACCATTCATGGTTGGATGTGGCAGGACTGCAGATCTTAGATCTGATCTGTTGGTTGTGGGATCACATAGATTTATCGCTTGCTGCTTTGCTGTTTGACACGTTAATAGTCTTGTAGTTTCATCAGGTTGACACCTCATCTTTAGGTATGCCTAATGCTGATTCTTTCATGCCCTCATGGGTTGATCCCCTGACTTGATGGTAATGGTTGAGTGGGGGATATGCTGGGCCATGAGGTTACAGATTGTGCTGGAGTACAATTCTGCTGCTGTTGATGGCCCACAGTGCCTCATGGATGCCCAGTTTTGAATTGCTAGATCTGTGTGAAATCTGTCCCATTTAGCACGGTGATAGTGCCACACAACATGATGGAGGTTATTCTCAATGCAAAGGCAGGACTGTCATGGACAGATGCAACTGCAACTGGCAGATTGGCGAAGATGTGGTCAAGTATGTTTTTCCCTTTTGGTGGTTCCCTCACCACCTGCCACAGACCCAGTCTTATCACTCTGTCCTTTAGAACCCAACCAATTTGGCTCGGCAGCAGCACTAATGATTAATCTTGGTGGTGGACATTGAAATTCCCCACCCGGATATATTTTGTGCCCTTGCCACCCTCAATTCTTCCTCCAACTTTTGTTCAATGTGGAAGAGTGCTGACTCATAAGCCAAGGAGGACGGTACATGTAATCAGCAGGAGGTTTCCTTGCCCATACTTGACCCAATGCCATTAGACTTCATGGAGTCAATGTTGAAGACTCCCAGGATAACTTTCTCCCACCTGTATACCACTGTACTACCACCTCTGCTGGGTCTGTCCTGCCGGTGGGACAGGACATATCCAGGGATGGTAATGGTGGTGGCTGGGACATTGTCTGTGTGGTATGTTTCTGAGTGTATGATTTAAGCAGATTAGTCTGTGGGACAGCTCACAGTGTTGGCTCTAACCTCCTGATATTATGGAGGAGACAAGTCTGAGTGTGCTACAATTATGTCCGATATCCAGCTGAATGCAGGCTGTTTTCTTTCCCGGTTTTATTTTGATTCAGCTTCACTTGACTGGCTTTGAAATCATGTCAGCTCCTGGGAGACTGTTGTCCTGAACTGAAACAGGCACAGCTAAAGTCTGTCAGAAAGATCCCAGTGTTTTGATACCCAATGACAACAAAATGAGGAGGAAAGTGAGAATAGTAAAAGGAACAAACGATAACCTGAGTAATAAACGTAACCTGACGTCCCACATGACACGAAGCCAAAGCCTGTAGATCCTCAGTCAGATTCCCCAGCTGTCTCCAGACTCCTGGACGACTTTCACCCTCACCTGCAAGGCAGCCAGTTCCCATAGTGCAGATGTTACGTAGGTGTTTGTTATCACTCAGCAGCTTCCTCGGCCATCTGAGGGATAATTAAGAGTCAACTACATTACCTGGAGTCACATCTAGGCCAGATCGGATAAAGACAGCAGATTTCCACCCCTAAGGAGCATTAGTGAACCAGATGACAATCCTGACAATCAGTGATAGTTACCATAGTCTCTATTGCTTTAGTTATCCTATGTCCCCAGAAACTTGTGATTCCTCAACCACTGACATTGCCATGACATCTCTATCACTAATGGTCTAGGTGGGGACAGAGGATCCCCCTCTCTCCTGCTCTCTGTCTCATGCCCCACCACTTACCAGTGTACACGTCAATCCTCTCCTCTTTTTGTCTCAGTTCCACACCAGGATCCTGCTGTGTACAGGAAAGCAGTGAAAATCCTGCATTCAGAAGCCATTTAAAGTTGTACTGTCTCTCAAGCAGCCCCCAAGTATGATCTGACCCCTGATGTTGTGCCTCTCTCTCTCTCTCTCTCTGCAGTTTACACAGCCTTTTCGTTCATGGAGTATTTGGTGGTTTTGTCAAACATGAGCTTTCACATGACTGCATACTGGGACTTTGGAAACAAGGAGCTGCTGATTGGAAGCCTCCCTGAGGAGAAGCGATTCTGAGTGAGGTGCCTGCAGCCCTATGTCCACAGGGAAGTGGACAATTGGACTCCTGTCTGAGACACAAAGCAGGGGTTGTCTTAGCAGGTCGAAGGTTACCTATTAAATGGGGAGGAGCGAGTGTGGGGGAGGGGGCAGTAGCTGTCACAGTGCCCCTGCTGTCAGTCCCAGAGGATAAAGGAGTGTTTGAGAGAGAGGAGGGCAAGGCTAACTGCGTGAAAGCAGCCTTTGTCCTGCCGATGTGACACTGCTAATGTTTCCTGCACATTTTAAACAGTCATGATGTGACATTGGTTGGGGCTCAGGGTTTCAATTGTTTCCACTCAAAGTTTGGGAATTTGCTCTTTGTATATAAAAAAAAGGTCTATTTCTTTGGTTTCTATCTTGCGCTCCCTCCCCATCTCTCTCCTTGCCACCCATCTGCCTCCCATCCTCCTCCTCCCTCCGACTCAATGCCAGTCCCTGTCTCTGTTACTCACTGCTCCCTCCCTATCCTCCTGCGCTTGTGTCCTACCTCCCTCTCTGTTGCAGCCTTCCCATCCTCTGTCTCCTGCATCCCACTCCTTCTCATTCTGTCTCTCTCTTATCACAGTCAGGCCTTCTGAGCAAATTCCCCTCATTCAGACCAGTTTGGGTTGGGGGGATCGCATTGTGGGGTGAATGTTTGATTTTTAATGAGTTACCTTCTGTGCTACATGAAATTTTAAGTATGTATTGGGCCTAAATGGGTTAAATTAGGTGAGCAGATTGCAGAGACATAGGACAGTTGAATCAAGATCTAATCAGGAAGAGAAACAAATTCCTTTAACAGTCCAACCGTTGGGTGACTTTTATTTTTAAAATACTTGAGAGAATCTTGTTGATGTGTTCTTGAGCTTATGAACGCTGAATCCTGTAACTGTATGGAGTCCATCTCCTTAACAAATGAATGACTGAAGTGAGATTTCATACCAAAAGTGAAAAGTAATTAAAATGTATTTGCGCTGTGTAGCGGCTTGCGCGTGTGCACAGTGAGGCGTGACTGTATGTGTGTGCGCACACAGTGAGAGAGTGTGTGCGTGTGTTTGTGTATGTGTGTTTTAGTGTGCACCAGGGCGTGAGCCTGTGGGTACACAGCGGTCTATACACACGGGAGTGAGCATGTGTGGGGAGTGAGCATGTACAGAGCAGGGAGTGAGTGTGAGTACAGTGGGTCTGTCCACTTCTACAAGGCACAAGTCAGGAGTGTGATGGAATACTCCCCACTTGCCTGGATGGGTGCAGCCCCAACAACACTCAAGAAGCTTGACACCATCCAGGACAAAGCAGCCCACTTGATTGGCACCACATCCACAAACATCCACTCCCTCCACCACCAACACTCAGTAGCAGCAGTGTGTACTATCTACAAGATACAAGAATCTACAAGATTCTGGCTGGTCTTCCAGTAAGATAGTGGTGGAGTTAGTACTTCTGAGCCCAGGGCCTGTCAGCTCTGTCCGCTTTTTGTTTCTTTACTTCTTTTTCTCTCTTGTTTTTTCTTCTTTTTTTCCATGTTATTTTACTTATCTCTTGTTGAAGAGCTCAGTACAGTGGCAATGAGTGGGCCCAGCAGCATGGGCTCATGGTGGCATTGGAGGCGATTTTGGGTTCCAGAAGGCTTCTGCATTGACAAGGCAGTCCTAGGACTGACTCATGCCTGCTGTGGTGGCAAGTTTGGGTTGCCAGCAGTATCCAACACAGATTCATGGAGGCAGTGGTGGAGGTGAGTTTGGGCCTAGGATGAGATTCTGCAGCGTGAGCAGCAGCTGCATCAGTGAGTTTGGGCCAGTGCAGTACCCAGTGCCAGTGGCATCTGCATTGGAGTGGTCCAGTGAGGACTCAGTGGTGGAGGTGAGAGGATGCCAAAGAGGGGTGAATTTCGGTCAAAATGGTGGCGGAATAGGATGTTCCGACTGGAGCTCCACTGCTCCTTCTGTTTCTTTCTCTTTTTCTCTCCCCTTTAGCCTCTCAGTGATTCTGGGCCTGGGCTCCCAGTGGCTTGTGGCGGGTCACAGGCCTGGTCTCTTCGCGGTTCGTGGCGGCTCTCAGCCTGGTCTTCCTGTAGCTTGAGGTGGGACCCAGGCCTGGTCCCTCAGCGTCTCCCAGCCTGGTCCCTCAGCGGCTTAAAGCAGGTCCCGGGCATGGTCTCTTGGTGGCTCATGGTGGTGTCTTGGCTTGGCATGCGAGTGGATCCGGCCTAGGCATGTTCCTGAGGCACCGGGGGAAAATGGAGAGGTGGCAGTTTCAACAGCAGCAATGGTATCTGTGGCAGCTGCTTTGAGAACAGACAGATGAGGTCCCCCAGAGAGCGAGATAAGCGGAGGACTCAAAGACTGTTGAACTTTTAGCATATTTCTTTATTTTCCTTGTTTAAAACATGAAAGACTTTATTGTAAACTATAACCTACTTCTTTATTTTTCTACTATTCTCTGAAATAATGCTTAACTTTTTAATTCTCGTTTCTCTTACTACCTTGTACCTAAGCTTTTTTTGTACCTAAGTACCTTGGTACCTAAGATGGCGCCATGTATGGTGACATTATACATTTTTCACTGTCCTCCTGTACTTCTGTACTTGAGTACACGCGGCAATAAAATTTAAAATCTAAATCTAAATCTTTTTGTTCCAGAGGCAGCGGCACAGCAAAGGGATTTGTGCCTGGCAACCAGGAACACTTAACAGGAAGGACAGTAAAGTTGATCACCTTTTCTTTATTCCTTTATTCTTCTGCCTTTATACTCTATGCTTTGGTTTATTTTTCTGTTTTAAGATGGCGCCAAGCGTGTTGACATTATAGAAAACTTTTCACTATATTTTGTAACAAAATATATGTGACAATAAATAAATAAAATAAAATAAAATCAGATGCACTGCAGAAATTCACCAGAGATCCTTATACAGCACCTTCAAACCCATGACCACTTCCATCCTGAAAGAGAAGGGGAGCAGATACATGGGAACACCATTCCCTGCAAATTCCGCTCTAAGCCGCTCACCATCCTGCCTTGGAAAAATATCGTCGTTCCTTCACTGTCACTAGGTCAAACTCCTGGAATTCCCTCCCTCAGAGCATTGTGGGTCAACCTGTACAGCACATCAATTGCCCCACCTTCTCCAGGGCAACTAGGGATGGGCAATAAATGCTGGCTGAGCCAGTGATGCCCATGTCCCACGAGTGGATAAATAAAAACAGTAAGAGATCGTATAAGCTGAATTTTTTTTGAAAAAGCTTTTTTTAAGGGAATAGTAACAGAAAGGGAGCAGTTAAAATGTGGGACTTTTGGAAGGTGTAACCAGGAAATTGAAAATGGGGAATAGGGTAATGGCAGATGAACTGATATTTTCTATTGGTTTTCTTGGAGGAGGACAGTGCAATGCAAAGGTAACAGATAAACATGGTGCTAATAGGTGGAAAGATCTTGTAACAGTCTTATTCAAAGGGACAAAGTATGTGACAAACTAATGGGACTGAAGGCAGACATGTTGCCTTCACCTGATGGTCTTCATCAAAGATTTTTAAAGGAGGAGCTGCACAGGTAGTGGAGGCATTGGATAAAATATTCCAGAATTCACTGGATTCTGGGAGAATTTTAGCAGATTAGAAAACAGCTAATGTGATACCCCTCTGCAAGAAGGGAGGAAGACAGAAAGCTGAAAACTATAGGCCAGTTAGCCTGACATCTGTCATTGGGAAAATGCTTGATTCCACTATTAAGGAAGAAATAGCAGGACATTTAGAAACATTTAACACAATCAAATAGAGTCAGCATGGTTTTGTGAAGGGAAATCATGTTTGACAAATCTGTTACAGTTCTATGAGGATATAACAAGCAGAGATGATGAAGAGACACAGGTAGATGTAGTGTATTTTGATGTTCAGAAGATATTCAGTATCAATAAATAAACGTTTATTGTACAAGATAAGAACTGTGTCATTGGGAGGATCACATTAACGTGCATTGAGGATTGGTTAACACACAGAAGACAGAAAGACAGGATTAATGGGCCTTGTTTAGGTTGGAAAGATGTAACTAGTGGAAGACCACAAGGATCAGTCCTTGGGCCTCAATTATTTACTGTCTATGTTGATGACTTGGAGTGGGGGCAGAGTGTAATGTATCCAACTTTGCTGATGACATAAAAATAAGTGGGAGGGTTGTGAAGAGGACATAAGGAATCTGAAAGGGAATATTGATAAGTTGAGTGATTGGGCAAAAAAAGTGGCATATGGAGGTTAATATAGGAATGTGCGTGGTCATGCACCTTGGCAGGAAGAATTAAAAGGCAGGCTATTATTGAAATGGAGAGAGCCTGGAGAAGGAAGTATAGAAGGATCTTGGTTGTTCTTGTGAATGGGGAGAGGTGATGGCCTAGTGGAGACCCAGTTCTGAGGACCCAAGTTTGAATCCCGCCATGGCAGATAGTAGAATTTTTAATTCAATAAAAATCTGGAATTAAGAGTCTAATAATGGACATTGTTGATTGTTGGAAAACCTCATCTAGTTCACTAGTGTCCTTTAGGGAAGGAAGCTGCAACTGGCCTACATGTGACTCCAGACCCACAGCAATGTTCTTAACTGCCTTCTGGGCAATGAGGAAAAGGCACAAGCAGCGATGTCCACGTCCCATGAATGAATAAAAAGCACAAAACATAAGCATGAAGGTGTAGCAGGTAATAAAGGTGGTGAGTGTAATTTTGGCCTTTATTGCTAGAGGGTTGGAATTATTTTTTAATTCTGTGGTGAATCAGGGAGCTGATTACTGCCGAGATTACCGAACTCCTGAAAGTACACCTCAGCCTTTACAACATTCCCAACATAGTGATGAGTCCATTGAGGCACTGACCTTCACGCCATGAGTGAACAATTCAATTGTTTCATAAACAATTGGGAAATTCAACACCACATGTCATCTCCACTCTATCTGCAGTCAAATGGATAGGCTGAGGCAGCAGTGAAAATTGTCAGCTGTATAAGGCAGTCCTCAAATAGAGAAGCATTGACTGAAGACTGGGAGCGTAGTCCAGTACAAAGGTTAATATCAAGCCACACACCAACTATTCTTCCAAAAGCAAAAAAGCAGCTGAAGCCAGAAGTTAAAGTGAAAAAGTCAACATGAAATGGCAGAAAACCAAATTTCATTTTGACTAGACTGCTAACCCATCACCAGAGATGAACATTGGAGAGTCAGTCAGGGTATACAGCTTGAACACTCTCAACAAACGCCAACCCGTGTGGCAACTTGGGACCTGCGAGAAACAGTTGTCACCTGATCAAGTGAAGTGAACAACCAGATATCCCATCTTGACACACTGCTGCACTGTATACACTCTAAATAACTCCCTTCCTAACAGCACCATGTTTGGTTCAAGCCAGTGGCTCCCCACCACCTTCTTGAGGACACTTTGGGATTGGCAATAAATTCTGGCCCAGCCAGTGGTGATCGCTGTGAAAGAAGTTTGAAACTCACAAGGCCACACACCCACTGTGAAACACACTTATTGTCACCTTGTCTCAGGATTACAGTTGTTAATGTAAGAAGCAGTTTGTTTACCCGGACCGGAAGGAAGTCTTCACCAACCTCAGCTGCATTCGATAGGCAGCTGCTGAAAAGATCAAACACATTCTGTCTGCGTGTGCATCTCTCTTTTCCTCTCTCCCCATTTCATTGTTTCTTTATTCATCTTGCTATCTCTGTACCTCTTTTTCTTTCTTTCAATGTATGTGCCTCTCTCACCCTGCACACTGTCATCTATATATAGTTTTCTCTCTAACTCTGTCTAATTCCGTATGTGCTTCTTCCTTCTACCTCTCTCTGACTATCTTACCCCTGTCCTCTTCTGGCCATCCTTTTCCTCACCCTTCATTCTTCCTTCCCTCTCTATCAATTTCCTGCCTCCCTTGGTGGGTCTCTCCTGCCCACTGTCCATATCTATCTCAGTTTCTCTCTTTCTTGGTGTGTCTCATGC